TGCTCGATGTGGACACGATGCTAACATACTAAGTGCTTATGACGATTGCGTTTCCCATTTTATGAACTTTGCGATAAAGTTTATTGCAGTAATTAGAATTATTTTTTGCAAATAACAATAATTGCGTTTCCTGTTTCATGAACTTTGTGATAAAGTTTATTACGGTAATTAGAATTACTTTTTGAAAGTAACGATAATTACCATTAAAGTTACAACAGTAATACGAAATACGATAGAAATTGTTCCTGTTATAATTTTTCAACGAAGCCTCAAACGACCTGTGTTTTGTATAAAATTCCTTTTCTTACTCATATCCGTAGAAAATACTGACAAAGTTCGTCTGGAAAAAATTGGGTCACTCTATATACATTCTTTCTATCCGAGTGTCCGTTCCTCGAGGGCTAAAAAGGACAAACACTAAGAAAAGCTTCTTTTTTCCACAAATTGACTCCTCCCCAGTTTACTATTAATCGCGAAAAAAAATCGTTGATCGAATTAATCGTTCACGTTGCACCCGATATCTCAACGTCACTACCGTCCAATCATTATCTCCCACAGGTTTAATCAATTTCTTCAGGGTAGACGCCTTTGGCGCCACCGGTGGGCAATACATATATACCGGGTGATCACGACTGCGCCGGTGTGAAGGCCACTTAAGAAGCAAATCGTGGATCGGTGAAGAACGACGACAGAAGAGCTCGACGGTGGTTCGGTAAAACGAGTGTTGGATAATTAATTCGGGTGACCCTTGTATAACCTGGCACGGTAGTAACCTGCCCTTTCTCCTTCTATTCGACCCGGTTCCCGTCCCCGTTCATCCTTCCTCGCTTCTTCGTGGCCGGTTTCTCGCTGATCGTATCGTGGCCGCGGGTGATTTTAAATCAGAAAGTTAATTAGACGCGTTTCACTGTCCTTTATGTCGCCCGTCCGTCGCCGTCCCTGTATACGCCACACCACTAAAACTCTCCACCATTTCGCCGGTGTGCACGTGAGGAGTGGAAGAGCAGCCACGGTAGCAACAGCCTGGAATATACCGCCGCGAGCGGCTTTCATTATGCGAACTAATTAAACTCCAATCGACGCTGACACTCGACGCCACGGCTTTACTATGCTTCTCGTTTGCACCAATCGACGCCGTACGTCTTCTCGCGCGCGTGTGAGGCCCCTTGTGCCGTCTACTCGTCGATCGAGGACATCCGGATGCACCGTGGACCTTGAAACGAGGAAACTGAGGGGAGATCCAGGAGATACGACTTTACGGAGATCGCCTCTGTGCTCTTCCAGGGGAATTAGATCGATTCCTGTGTTAAGATTGAGCTCCCTTTTCTATTCTTCCTTCGTGTGTCGTTGTGATACTGTGTGTCCAAGGGAAGAAGGATTCTACGGTTGCAGGATATAGGAGGTTTCTGTTTCACACCCTTTCGTGTCTCGTGGAAACGCTAATCGTCGCGTTAAAATTAAAGCGTAGAAAAGTAATAGGCGAAAAGTTTCGTTTTGTCGGAGCGAACGAGAGTTCAAAGGCGGAACAGAGAGAAAAGGAATTCAGGAGTTTCTTTAACCCTTTCGTTACTATTGGCGCCGGTAGGCGTTTTGAAAATTTTCTCGCACTATACGCACTTCCACCCTAATTCAGTAAACGCATTCACGCGCTTCCAGTTTAATTCAATAAACGTATTTACGCGCTTCCACCTTAATTTAATAAACGTAACTTTCGAGACGATACGACAAAAGTAATTTTGCAGTCATGGATAAAAATTTACCACCAATCAATTGAATTTACAGCGTTACACATTCAAATCTGCCGTAACGAAAGGGTTAAGGGTAGACAGTACTCCCTAAATGAAGGAAAAATTTCTCCTTTACCATCTACCACAAAATTACAAATATTAGGACTTGTCTCTTCCATTTCGCGAGTAACCTTTGAACTCCCGAATCCTTCTCTCTCACCACCCTGTATACAGTAGAATTAGTAACGTCGCGATAATGTTCGGCAGGATATGTACAGTACTGTTTGTTTTTCTCCGAGATATTCGGCGCTCTTTCATAGATTATGACGCACACGTGGCGTGCGCTCTTTTCAACGCAGATAAGGTTTCAACGAGTGTTCACAAAGGGGTCGTAAGAAGGAATTATTAGGAGGTGGATATCATATTTTAACGACAGGGATTGCATTCAGAGAATAGGTTAGGAAGTTTGAATTGATATCCTGCCCGGGGATTGGAATAATTGCGAATCGCTTTGAAAGCGGTCTGTCAAGGCTGGGTAACTATGATTAGGGGCATGACGATCGCTACGTGTCCATTGTGCTAATATTCTATAAGTAGATGGTAATTATCGGGACGCATTGTCGTTGATCTAGGGTAAGAGCTGTGTTAGAATCGAAGAATTGAAAATCTCCTATTAACAAAGGGGGCACGGTGTTAAATTTTCGCTGAATATACGAAGACAGTGATTTCGCTTCGTTCATTTTACAACGAATTCCATCCTCCGAATCCTGCGCTGCCACGAATAATTCATTATATTATAAAAATTAAAGGACGTAAAGCTACTGACAGATAGCCACGGCAATAACTGTGTACGTATATACATATACATTAACCGTAAGCTCGATAAGCAGCTTACACTTAAGCCTATTAGCTGTATTAATAAACGAAACTCAAACTAACTTACAGAAGGACCGTCGTAAAAACGCGAATTTTATAATGATCCACGACGTTATTCTTACCTCTTCCACCGGTGCTTTTCAGTCTGCAACAGAAAGAGAAGGAGAGATTCCATTAGAAAATCAAGCAGAGATTGTTAACTATGTGTATACACAACCGTTGGCTATTTTCTCGATTTCTGTTTAACCCTTTGCGCTCCTTTGACGAGTGTGACTCGACGTCAATTTTATTCACTGTTAGAGGAGACTGGGGCCAAAAGTTACAATTTTGGGAGAACACGAAAAATGACCGAGAAATAATGTAGTTATTCTTTTCACTATTGACTAATCTACTGTTAAATTTATCGTACTTTAAGATTCCGAGCTTACATTTAACATATTGCAATTAGTCTTTCGCAGGGTGTCATTTGTTTGCAACTCGACGAAGCGTGACTTCTAACTCCGTCGTGGGGTAAATTGTTACTAAGAAAAGAGAGTTGCCCGCTCCTATGTCGAGTCTATTTTTAAATTGCAAGCTTAAATATAAGTTATTCTTTTTACACTTAGATAAACAACGTTGCACGTATACGACCCTTTTTTGTAAAAAAAAAGTGCAATTGTTACAGAAAAATGTCATACAGGTACATGTGATGAAGCAATTGTCTACATTGCTTCCTATCAATTAATTGCCCTTTCAAGTACATTTCAACCCTTTGCACTCTAGAGGCGACTAAGAAGCGGCATTATATTTACCATTACAGCATTAGACAGCAGGTCTACGGACCTCCGTGAATTGTTCACTGCATGTTTAGAGGTCTCAGCAGTGAAGTAGTTCGAAAGAACCAACTTCTAATAAAAATTACACTAATTTTTGCTACTTCCTTATAGAAAAAAGCGCCTTCGAGTGCAAAGGCTTAAACAAACCACTTAAAATAATGCGGAATTATTGGAAGGAAAATGAAAACAGGAAAATTCGAAGTTCAAAGGGTTAAGCTAGGAACGCTAGATTCTAAAAAGGAAGCATGTACAGATTTCGAGAACGAAGAATCTTCGATGGTATATAACAGTACCTAGAACAGTCGTTAAACCGCATTTCCAGCGGCGAGCAATTAAACCCGCGACGCGATAAACCTTCGGAGGAAAAATCTCGGTTAAAACGCGAGAGTCCTTGTCCCGGCGGTCGGAGGAAATGGATCGCAATAAAGATCTCTCGATTTCTCGTGGTGCTGGAACGAAAAGAGCCTCCAGTTACGACTGTCCCTCGGCTCCTTCGTACAAACCACCGTCTTTCTCCGGCTCTCGACTTTTTCTCGTTGTTTCCTCTCGGTCGGATTCAAATCGACCGATCTAGTTAGCAACCGGTTCGGCCCCTCCTTATTACATCCCCGGTTCTACTCGATTTTGATACATTGCGGGTTAGGTGGTAATTTTAAGGGGGAATCGATCGGTGGGACTGGCGAACGCGCGAGGCTAAACCGCGATCGTTTCTCGCGGATCTGCCTGATCGCCGATCCGTATCGGGATGCATCGTTGAACACCTTCTTCCTCTTTGTGTATGGATTTCGAAGGCAATCTCACGGAAACCGAACCCAACGCAGGTGTTTACGTTCTCATATTTCAATTGGGAATTCCACCATCGATAAATCCTCTCTCCCCTACTTCGCCTTGGGTTGATTGAATCCGCCGGAATCGAGCAGCTGGAACTTTTGCATCGATTCGGACGTTCCCTTTCGCGAAAAATTATACGGCGCGGGTTAGCGAGAATTATCGACTTGAATATCTGCGGGACCGTGAATAGCAAGCGATGAAAGTGAGAGCGAAAATTATATTGTTTTTTTAACAATATGTCAGTTTTTTATTTGTTTAGATCTAGAGAATCTGTAACACTGTGTGCTTCAATCAATTCTCACGTCATGAAAGAGTAATTGAGTCAGCAGTAGCAATTTAATCGAGGTCTATGACATCGACTGATGTGTTACAAGTCGTTGTGTTCATCTTAAGAGCTGTCATTAGCAAATAAAAAAAAGAATCGTAGTGACCATGGGATAGTCCCTCTTATGGCAAACAACTTTCATCGGAAAAGTTTTTCTTTTATTCTCGTGGCTCTGGAGATATTCAAGGTGGTAATTCTCACTTGTCCACTCTGCATAGTATCATTTCGACGAAAAATACATGCGTTCCTTATGCTAACGGGATTCCAAACTGTATAATTTTTTTTTTCGAACTTTCTAGCGACTGTTCAGATTTAAATAGTTTGTATTTAACAAGTGTTCTAGTACTTATGAAAGAGAGTGTACATATCGGAGTATCATACAAACCTTCGACAGTGAAGAAGCGTCACCATAACCACAGCGCCGATACCAGCCGATACTAACGACACTATCACTAGAGTCAGCACCCATCCAAGTTCTCCAGGAGCTTCTGCAAAAACACGGAAAAGCAACGATTAGCCGCAATAAACACCTGGCGCTGCTATTATCGCGTCGTTCATCCGTGACCATTCTCAACCACTTCTTCCCCTCGAGATCGCAGAAAATAAACGTTTCTGCAAAAAGCAGCATCTTCACCGATACCTATAGACGGTCTCTCATCAACGACACTATTTCCTCCAAGAGTAGAGAAGCTCTAAACACTCGATACACTTCGCCGTTTCTTCAACCCTCGTTCCCTTTCTTATCCACGAAATCACAACCCGTAAAAATTCCCAGCGATCTTTTTCTCTCACGACGAACGCTCTACTATTCAACCAATGTGAGAAGTTTCACGTGGTCTCGCGGTGGTATCTGACAAACCCGATCAGAAAGCCAGCAACCAGCAGCATCGAACGTTTTCATATCTCTCTCTCTCTCTCTCGGCCGCTGCGGTGAATTCTCCCCCCTGGGCGGTGGTGGACCCACTTGCAAATAAATTAGCTCACAGGGGCTTCGCGTGTTACGTTCGCGAGGAAGAGAGAGGTTCCATAATTGGACCGCGATCGCGTCCGGTTTCCGCTCAGCGGGACGTCCGCAGCTTTATTACGCGAGCTTACCTATTATTTGCCAACCCCACGCCGAAAGTATCACCCTCCCCGCGATCAACCGCGTGTTTCACGATGTCCACCGGTAACGAGACACCGAATTATCGTTCGCGTGGACGTAATCTAGGAACTTGAGACAACGTTTAAGACACCCTCGAAGACACTGAAAGCGAACACTTCGTTGTACAACGAGGGGACGTCACGAGGATGTAAGTTAGCGGAGAGTGAAGAGAAGCGAGGTTCACCCTTTCCCGCGATCCGATTCAACGATTTTCCACGAACCACTTTGTCCGGTAAGGAGGCGCACCGTTCGCCATTTAACCAGTTTTCAAACCATTCGTCCTGGCGATTCTCACAGTTCGCCGAGTCGGTTTCTCGTCGCTTTCAACCGGTCGTCTCGCCCAGCGCCGCGACGATTACTCCCGTTCGAATCGGCCCTCATTAGCGGCCGAGCTTCTGCCGATTCCGCCGAGATATCTTAATCCTTTAATGAAACGTTTCTGCTTGATTCCTAATTTAGAATTTTAATCGCGGCGAGAGTGCGTTTTCCGCGGAACGAGCCCCGCGGTCAACTTTACTGCCGCGATGCTCGTAAATAGGAGAAAAGATGTAATTTAGTCGCATGAGATAGATGAGGGACGAGCTGGGGGAAGGGAGATCCTCTCTTGGATCGCGTTCTTTTACGTGGCCAGGGGAATGCTCATATACGGTAATCGACGATGTTATCCGCGACTGGTTATTAAGCACGGTGGCTGTTTTAGTTATTTTGCACGCTAGGATGTCTCTCCTATACTCTAGATACGACCCTGACGCACGATTAATAAGGCGAAACGATCCGAGTGGTGGAGTACTTTTTTTTTTTTTTTTTTTTTTTTTTGGAGATAGTAAGCCTCGTGTTTCGCGGAGAGAAGTAAATGTTTCGTTTAATCTTTGGACGCTTATGCGTACACGAGGCGAATTATGGTGACTAGTTAGCCTTGCGTGGGCTTATTTTAGAATTGCTGTTCTAGCGAAGTTAAATGTGTTATTAACACGATAACGTGGTTCTGCGTCATTTTATATTTGCAGAAAGATACGTGTGTTTTGTAATTGCTGAAACTTTGTTTAGGTTCATTTGTAATCTCGTTACAAACTCTTTTCCTTGGGAAAGAGGGCGTGCTAAGTTTCTGACTTTATGACACGGACTCCTTTTATAGATAACTATTTTACTTTGTGACGTCCAAAACTTTTCCTACTTTAAAAAACAAGCGATTACAAGAATGCTATTATAAAGAAACATTTCTTATTTTCGCTCCAATTTTAAACACCGCAGCATTCAGCTCTGAACTTTTGCGAATTGAAGTTCCGTGGAAGTTGAGACCCTAGCGTCAGAAGTTAATAAGTTTATAGAAAAGAAAGAAAAATGTGAAGTGCAATACAGAAGTACTTGTAGCATTGAAAGACAAGTAGTCGATGATAGGAGATCGAGAAGTGTTATTGTACGGTGTTCATTGTATTTGGCGCGTCGTGCAGAAGTGCACAAGCGTTTGAACCGGTCGATGTTCCGATTGTTCGCGACAGAAGGAACACGAAAGGGTTCGTTCGAGAGGAAAAGAGGGGCTGTTGTAATCCGTTGCTGGTACTCGACCCTGAGAAATCACCGCTAGATCCACTGGTTCGTGACTGTCGAGTTGACCGAGCGACGTTACCAGTCCTGCTCCATTCAGGTCGCTGTTTGGGAACTGTTCGCTAACAGTCCTGGCCTTTTGTTCACGTCTCAACCTTCGTCTCTTCGACTTACTACCGTACGATCACTTTGAAACCATTTTGATGAATTACAGAGGAACTCTGATTGTGATCAATCGTAGATATAAATACGGCACGCTGGATTCTATTAACTTCGAGATTAACTGTAATGTGTATACAGGGTGTTCCAGTTTTTCCGGTCAAACTCAGTCAGTTTAGTCTATATTTTTCTTTTTTTTTTTTTAGTATTCTATTCTATGAGTATAAATATGAAAAATATGCTGTATAAACGTAGGTCCTTTGAAGCTTTATTTTTTGGATTCTATTAACTAGGAGATTAACTGTAATGTGTATACAGGGTGTTCCAGTTTTTCCGGTCAAACTCAGTCAGTATAGTGTATATTTTTCTTTCCTTTTCTTTTTTGAGTATTATGTTCCGAGTACAGATCAGAAAAATATGTTGCGCAAATACAGGTTCTTCGAAGCTTTATTTATTTTTCGCTGTCTAGATTGGAATTTGCCCATGAATTCGTTAACTCGCCCCACGAAGAATTAGAAAAATCATATTTCACGATATTTTTTTATCGAACTAAACGTGGCCGAATAATTTCCGCTATACTACGTCAGTGAAAGCTTGATACACCCTGTACAATAATTCGAAGCGTTTCGTTCGGAGATAAAATATTTTTTCAACACAGATCAATTTTACACCGTAGCGTTCATCTGCCGGCGCGATAAGAGTGTGAAAGCGAACGGATCGACGGTACCTGCCTACAGGGGGAAAAAGAAGGAATGTCGAATTGGAAGAGAGGAGAAGAAGAAAAAAACTAATCGGAGGTTAACACGCCAGCGTGTAAGCTCGAATTAACAGGTCGCGTGAAAGCATGTCGGTAGAGGAGGAAACGAAACGAACGTTCGATACGGAAGACAAAGAGGAGAGGATAGCTGGCCGTCTATCAGTGTCACGTTTTTGACGTGAACATAACAACGTGCACGTTACGGCTGATAACGCCTTACAACAGAGTTATCAATCATCTCCGGGCGGAGCACGGCCACCTAGGATAATTCGTGTTAACTTCGTGGCGCGCGAACAGCCACCACGGCTGTATGCGTCAGGTTACAACGTTGTTTTTCGGCAAAACGAACGAGAAGGACGAAACGGTGAAAAGAAGGGAAGGAAAAAATCGTCGGGATTTTTGGGAACGTCCCTCATCTCGGATTCCCTGACAGAAACGAATCGAGCGTACGAAGAAAGAGGGGACACGTTTTCTCTACGGTGTTTTCGACCCCTTTTGTACGCCTGTCGATCTCGTGTCGATCCATTCGACCATCGAACTTCACGATTTTCTACATTGTTACCTGTGAATCTGCTGTGCCGTCGTAATGGAGGGAGAGTAGCTCGATCTGACACGTTAATATCTAGGGCGAGCGTGTTCTCTGGGGGAGAACAAAGGGTGAACCTGAAAATTTTAGGGTTTTTCTTCAAAATATCTTTTTAGACCAATTTCTGTCTGTTAGGTATACTGAAGTAAGATGCACAGTTTTTGTCATAAGATTGAAACTAGGTCGACTGTGTTGGAAGAAACCTTTGGTTTTGCTGGATTATTGCGAGAAATGAGTGTGTGTGTGTGTGTGTGTGTGTGTGGTAACAGCAAAAATGATTAAAATACTGAGACGGGTTAGTATTGTTACACCCTCAAATATTTTCCTTCTTAGTCCTTAGTTTTATCTCTATTTACAACGAGTCATCCACTTTCACCATTACTCATACACTATTTTCTCCACTTCTGCGTTCATTCTCTGGTTTACCACGTGCACGTCACGTAACGTCAAAAACCACGTAAACTCCACGTAAAAAAAAAAAACAATGTAGGGTTGATTCCACAAGTGTCAGTAAAATGTAGGGTCGATTCGACAAGTGTCAGTAAAATGTAGGGTCGATTCGACAAGTGTCAGTAAAATGTAGGGTCGGCCTACATCCATGTAAAAAAAAAAAAATGTAGGGTCGATAGCAGTAGAAAAGCTGAAAAACAATTACAATTAAATGTAACGATAGAAATTATTGCAATAATGCGTAATGCAATTGAAAAATTGAAAGAATCAAAAGAAAAAACGCGAATTCGTATCTTTTTCGATTCTAGAATATAAGAAAATTTGAATAAAATACGCGACGAGAATTGGGGAGAAGCATAAGTTAAACGCGTAAAAATATTCAATAATAAACGCACTAGGGATGAAGCTATTATTTCAATACGCGATGCACTGGCTCTAGTATTTACTAAAATTCAAAAATTCTCGTATAAATTCCGAAAATAGATTATTAATTACGGTAAATTACTGAGACGGTTTAATTTAGGGTGGGCATAGTGCACGAGTGTAGTGCACTCGTTCCAAATCAGCACACGATATACAATAATAAATCAACTAACTACTTAACATGCAATTCATGCAAATTCCTTGGATGGTAAATTATTAGTAAACAAAATTCAATATCCGAGAAAATATATGAAAAATACTGAAAGAAAAATTTCAAATTATTGATTGTTATGCTGTAACGAAAAAGCAACCTCTCAAAGTCACTTCAATATTCTATTCGACAAGTCTGAAGAACAAGGATGACTAAAATTCAAATGTTTATTTCCCTAAACCTTCAACATAATTTCGAAATATTTTATTCGAA